TGCTTCCCAATTCCCCTCAACCTCCCTGGCCCCTGGCCCAGATAAACCACTACATCAGTTATTGTCTCTGTGCATCCACTCCTTCTATGCTTTATAAATTGGGAACCCTAACAGAAGCAATAAGAAACAAAAACCAAATGAAACAGAAAGAAGAAAATACTATTAATAGTGTAAAGATAAAAGGAAACATAAAGAGTAAGAAAGAAAGACCAACATTATTTAAAAAGCCAGAGATGAAATTTCTGTCATGGGACAGCAAGAAATATTTGAGCCAATATTTCTAGAGCTAATTCAGGTTGGCTGAAGAGGGAGGTCAACGGAGCAGTATCATATTATTCCAGGATTTGATCCACCTTAATCAAGTTCATAATACTCTATCTAAGAGTAAAGCTGTTTGAATCTGTCACCTGTGGCTATTGGGGATTTGCCAGAGGCTTAATCTGACTAAATGCTCCACCACAGAGGGATTTTGGAGTCCCACTGGGCACCATGGCCTTCTACAAATTGGGTGTTCAGAATTTAAGCGCTGATCTTTTTCCCTTCCTCATATTTGCATTTTGTTATCATCATCTTGGGATCACACAGCTGGTGTGCTGCTTCGTTGTGACTTTAGTTGACACCTCACTGCTCGTTTGAACACAAGCCTTTCAGACCCCAGACACTATCCTAAGATTGGGTCTAAAATAAGTGGAAGCCCAGAATCCAACTTCATGTTTATGGGTCACAAACAACTCTGGTTGACTTTGGAAGTCATATTATGGCAAAAGCAAAACCCCAAACCAACAAAAACAACAAGCCAACTAACAAACCAAAAGGAAACATAAAAGAAACAAAAAGCGTTGTCAGTCATCGCCTGGAGTATAAGGCAATTGCATTGATAACATCAATAATTTATCCAATGGCATAGAATTTGAGATTATGTGAGTATAGTCTAACTATGAACTGCAATCCATGAGTTGTTGCTTTGTACCGATTGATTTCTTAATTGATTGACCTGTGTTTACATTGAGCATGGGTATTGGTGCTAGGGGGAAATTTCCTATACCATTTCTTTCTTTCTTTTTTAAAAATCATTTTATTAGGGGTTCATACAACTCTTATCACATTCCATACATACATCAATTGTGTAAAGCGCATTTGTACATTCATTGCCCTCATCATTCTCAAAAC